AGGATGTGACGCTCAAGGCAGAGGTATATGCCGATGGCTTCGGCTCTGCACTCTTCGTAAGTTGAACTCATGTTTCCGAACTGTGAATCGTACCTTTGACCCGCAGTGTACCATGTCTCGACCTGGAATACATCAGCGGATTAGATGTATTCAACAAGCTAAAGAAATGACCCGCTCGGAGAATGGACAGTACACTCGGGAATCCCGCGTACCGGTTTGCCTGTCAGAGGATTCACGGTCGACACGTCGAAATTCGCGCCCTTGACAGGATCTTTCTCGAAGAGCTTGCCGGTTCCATGGCCGAGGAGCTCATGTAGTCCGACCTGTACTCCAAGAGCAGCATCTCGATATTTCTTCAGCAACTCGGCGTCGGTCTTGGTGACGAAGTCGATCTCTGCAGCGGACATCTGAGCTTTGATCGCGTTTTCGAGGTGCACATTCTTGAATCCTTCATTCTGTCGAACTTCATTATCTGTGGAGTATGAGACATGTCAGATGGTGGGGCCTATGGGTGTCGGGCCAATGGGCTGTAACCGTAGAAACGGATGATATAATCTATAATCTCCTCATGAGTCATTATAATTTCGATGAGTGATCTTCTGTCTGACAGGTCACTCATCGAAATTATAATGACTTATGAGGAGATTATATCATCCGTTTCTACACCCAACTCCACTTCATATAGTCGTGTATGTATACATTGATTGTCCGTACGGATTTTGAAGTCTATCGTACAGATTTAAAAGTCAAACATATTGACGACATTCGGCTCAACTCACAATTCGGAATAATGATCCCAATCGGGACTCCGCAGCCAGCAAAGGATATAACGTCCAAAGCTGTGAAATCCGGCTTCAAATAGGAATCCTTCTCGAAAGCGCGAGGCCACGGCATCGACTCCTTGATAACAGCTTCTGCTTCTTCGACGAGAACGCCAAGTCTTTTTGAGCCTTCCCGATTCACAACAGCTACGAAGCCTTCGAAGTCCGCACGAGCTCCAGCGGGATCACGATAGTTTTCGATGAAACCGATGTATCTGAAACCCGTGAAGTGGATTCAGCTCCGCTCAAACGAGAGAAACACGGCAGAATTGATGGAAATCGAATGATATGACGATGGCGAAACGTGTACTCACGTCTCGACAGCCGGGCCCTTGTCCATCACCCATGAACGGGACCCATCTTTATGGGCCTGGATTGAGCCCGTTTCGAAGGATTTGACGTATTCCCTCAACATGTTCCGTTGGTTCTCGTTGGCGGCTTCGTTCGAGGCTGATTCCAAGCTCTCTATCACATCCCCTAAGAGCTGAAAAGCAGTACCGCCTAATGAGGAACCCTCCCCGACCAAATACGATGGGCCGCAGTCTATGGTCTAGACTCCACTCACGCTCGAATAGTCGCCTCTCCTGACACGGAACTGAATACCATTCCGATCCTCATCGAGGCTCAGAAGTTTTTCCGCGGTTGTATCAGTTTCATTGGAGAGTTGACGTGAGGCAACTCTGATCTCGTAGGAGGTTTTTCCGTCAACGACCTCCTTGAAAGTTCGTTGATTGTACGCGTCGAGCCTCTTCTCGGTGAGATATTGAGTGACGATCGCCGCATCTGTCTCATTGCAGTTCGACGACCAGTATGAGTTTATGCCATGTGGAGGGAAGCCCAGATTGCGAACCGATTCCTTATAATCGTACATCGGTTCCAGACAGTGTTCAGCCCAGAAATCTTGGTCTTCCGGGAATAAACTTCGCAGCACCGTCTGCATCTTGTTCATCGGCACCTCGGGCAGAAACTTCGTGTCACCGAAGTCCCTAGAAGAGAGATCGAACGTCGAAAATCCAAGGCTGAAGACTGTAATCGTACAATCTGTACAATCTGAATGGAGATTCATTGTCCGGATGAATCAAGACTCACCGATAGTTGCCGGCTGCGGAGAAGAAAGCGCCGCAGTAGACGAGGAACGCTTTTACGTCATCGTCCGTGAAGCTGAACTGTTCTTTGAGGTTCGTTGTCACGCCGTCTAGAGTTGGTTTCGACCGTAGAACTTTGTCCAAGAATATGAAGATCAGGGGCGCTTCCGGGGAGGTTCGGTGGAACGCGATGAAGTGTCCATACCAACAGGCTCTGGAAATCTTTGTGTCGGTATCCGCTCAATTCATGACCGTCGGAGAACCCCGCGGCTGGAGCGATTGAGAGGTTTCCATCACGATCCGGACCGATAACAAGCCAGTTCAATTTCATGGAAGCGGTATGTTGGACAACATCGACATTCGACCAACCTCGACATGAAATGAGCATAGCGCTTTTCTTGCGGCTCGAGACCTTTGAAAGCCTCTTCACAGCTGAGTTTCCCGAAGGGAGTGTCCTTCGGGTAGAATTGATTGGGTAGAGACATTGGAGGAGCTGGAAAGTTCGGAAATTCCGTAAGTTCAGGACGAGACTCGGCTTCTATCGAGAGACATCATTACTCAAGCCCTCTTGTGCACCTAGGCGGTGCTTGGCACGAAGGGGAGCTGTCTCTCTGTAAGTCAGATCCGAAGCAGACTACCGCCGAGACCCGGATAGGTTAGGTGTTCTATAGAAGAAGAAGAGTGTTACACGGAGGCTGCGGACTCTAGCCCGGAGAGTGACAACTGAGTGAGACCACTGAGAGCTTGCGTACTGACAAAAATGTTGCGAGCGAGAGATCCATCTGTGGATATCTTCGTCGAAGATCCCTCAGCTAGGGATGGAAATATGTCGAATCCTCAAGGGGTGAAATATGAGAATAAGAAATGAGAGAAATAGCTCTAACAGGGACTCGGCCTGTCTTCGCATCTGGAGGCTTCACGGGCCCTGAAGCATTCGTTTGCGATGATTCAACATCTCAGTCTTATAAGTTAACATTCGCTTCCTTCAACCCGGGTTCACGAAGGTGAGTATGTTTGTCGGGAGTCCCAGGTCTAACAAAGAAAATTGTGGAATAACAGCGTCAGTCAGGTTGTGGTGTACGAATGATCAAAGCTCTCCCGTGCCATAGGGTCGTCATCGGAGGACGGGAATTTTCCAACCTTCTCGTATTCTATCCGATTTCAAATATTTCCGACCTACGATGACCGACCCATATGAAATCAGAAATCCGAGGTATTCGCGGACCACAAGCTGAATCGAGCTGATACTCCACAATTTTCTTTGTTAGACCCGGGACTCTCGGAAAGAATACTCATTCTATTATGGCTAAGCTGGATTGAAGAACGCGACTGTTCACATGTAGGAGATAAATGACTATTGTGCTTGAAGATCCCAACATTCCGCCCCAAGCTGGGACTCCAAACATTCCACTAGATTCCGGCGAGTTGGGCACCACGACTTGCAGCCGCTCTGATTTGCATTATTCGGAACGCACGAGAAATATCTATCGGACGATCATATTATTGACCACTCGAAAAGAAACTAACCACACCGAGCCCGTTTTGCGTGCATCAGATCCTGTGACGACCCTCCAAGACTTACCGATACCATTCGAGAGATCCAGGCAGCCACGAAAATTGCTGCACTGACAGTTACGGCAGGCAGCCACCAACGAACACTGCTCATCTAGAGGAGAGGCTGCCCTCGTGGACGTTCAAGCCAGCCGGAACTCAGGGTTAGAGAAAGAGGAGCAATCTTCGCCGTCAACACAAAACAGGGCACGGAGAACTCAAGAGAGCTAAAACGAGAGTTCCAAACTTTGGACAAAACACTAATTCCGAACATAAATCTGACCTGAAATCACCATTGTCACAAGGGGTGACATCAGTAGCACATCATTTCCCCGCGAGGCAGATCAACTCAAGCAGTCGGCGGCCGATCCCCAGTTTCGCAGCGGAGCCGAGCTTGCCCCCGGGGTGGAAGGTATGTTTTGGCCATCGGACCAGATGACATGGCCCGATTAAAAACGCGGCCGGCTCCCACCTTTCCCGCTGTCGGCCAGCAAAAACCCTCCCTCTTCTTCTGTGTACGAAACTCGCAGCGGGAGATGCTTGGACAAAAACAAGACGACACTGACGTGCCTCCCGAGGAAATTCATCTTGGACCAGGGGGTCGTGACTGGTAGGGAGACTCCGCGCTGTGATCGAAGAGGGGAAGACCGGCGCCTCCCCGACTCCGCAGTCGGTGCCAGCCTCCACAAACTCATAGCTAATAGCCAAGTCTCACTGATCCTCTCTACCGGATAGCCGCATGGCGGCGTCGCCGGGGCGCGCTCACGCTGGTGGTTCTCAACTTCTAATATGGGGGTCCGAACAACCTGAACCAGCACCGATTCCCCTGCCAGTGTGAGTCAAACTTTTCCTCTCGCGGAGCCCCTGGGGGTGCGCAAGGGCTCTTCGGAGCCCCAGGGCACCGTGTTTCGAGCCATAACGCAATGCATGCTCTTTTGACTTCGAAGAACCATCGATTCCCACCGGAAAGGGTACGGAGGATGCCTTTATATACGAGAATGAACTTGAGTTCGGGAGAAATTAGGAATTTTCGGATTTACGGAACCTAGCTGGACAAACACCCCTACAGGCTTGCTGGTCTCACACATTCTGCGAGGCGAATTCGGCCTTCAGAAGGATCATTCCTCTCCCCTTCAGTACATCAAGTCCCTCTGTACTTCAGGCTGTCAGGCCAATAGGACGAGCGAGCTTGCAACATGGAACGTGCGGATAGTCCCCAGAACAGCGGAATGTCTATATCAGTGCCTCGATCGTGCAGAAGAGAAAACCCGCTATCGTCGGTGTCGTCGACACCGCTCAACGGTACCCATGAAACAACTTACAGCTTCAGAAATTGCGAATTGAGCTCGAACTTCAAGGACGGAATCTGACGAAAGAATCCACCGGCGACGCCTCCACAGAAATTGTGCGGATCGTCACAACAGTCTTCAGCCAACGGAATGGTAGCGCCGCGCTCAGTTCAAATTGTGGCGCGAAGTTCCCTCCGGAATGTGCCCGACTGAATCTCACTCCGCTACACTGGTCTCTGGTGGCACTGGACCCCAGAGTCTCGCTGCTTTTAGGTCAGAAGGCATGCGGAGCTCAAACTGAGGTCTCGATAGCCTGAGGATGTCACCTACCCTTCGACTTCGTGTGACTCTCCGAATCGTTCCACTGAAAAAAGGTATGATTCCAGTCAGTCTTCACCGTTGAACAGAAGCCGAAGGAGCACCGATTATCACCGGGACGATCACTCTACGTACGCGTTCGCGTCCCTCTTCAGGTTGCGGAGCCGAGACGTAGCCACAAAACCTCGTCGGTCCCAAAGCCCGGGTGATATCACGGAGTTCTGATCGGTACTGCATTCCTAGTCGATAGAATCGCCAATTCTAGCGGGGACGGTGCGAGATGCTTGCTCCCATGCTCGATTAGACAGGGAAACTTCTCTGGCGTCCGCACCGACAGACCAATGAAAAATTTCCTGACCTTTTTGTTCTAACTTCAAGCCAAAGTCTCCTCCCGAGACCAGTCGGGTTCGTCCGACGTGTCGCACAAAGCCGCGAAGCCTCAACTCCTTCCTCGTGATGAAACGGATCATTGAGCTCATGAACATCGTTCTACAGCAGAGTAGTGATCTCCCCGAGGAAAACTTATGATACGCAAGGGAGAACTATCTTCCACAAAGAAATAGATCTTCAAATAGCTTCAACCAATATCCTTATTATTATCATGTCTCATGTGCGCTCGAGACCGGTCAGCATCTAATGTATCGTCTGGCTCCTCCTCTCTTTCACTCAGTGATTGTTGACACTTTCGACGACGACGACAATTGTGTTTGTTCCGATACGATGCTTGTGTTTTGTGTTTCCCATCACGGCGAGCGGCGAAGCGGCACCGGCGCTTTCGCGCTCGAAGTCGAGAACTCGAAATCCAGGACCTCCCCGACGCTCCGTCCAGTCAGCCGGTCGCTCTCGCACCAAACGCCACTTGTTCAAGATGTTATTCCAGGGATAGACATTGTCAGAGAACGAGTCTCCATCTCGCATGTTGCTCCGATCTACACCACTGTCACCGCAGGATG